ACTAACTAACTAACTAACTAACTAACTAACTAACTAACTAACTAACTAACTAACTAACTAACTAACTAACTAAAATAAGCCTGACCCCTCAAAAAGTCCCCTCTTGCTTTGTTTTCTACACATGTTTGGTTGTGTTGCAAAGTAACAGCAAAACGTAGCAGCAGGCCACTTWGAATGATTGCTAGAAAATAATGACTGTTGTATTATTACACTGACTAGATTACCAAGGTTAGGCTGGTAATTAAATGTTTGGAAGGTTCTGTTGGCACCAGTGACAACRAATTCTCACTGGATTACCGTCCTAATAACCACAAACTGAAAGCTCATAAAGGACACACTAATCTACACTGAAAGTATTTGCAGCAGGCCACGTGAATTTAAAAGGAGGTGTAAACAAACAAAACTGTGCTCCCGTGTCAGTACTGTTTCAGGCACTATCTCTTGTGACTTGTTTRTGTGCTCTAACTTTGGTAGTATACCATCATGATAGAGTGTGTGATTTTGACCCGGTTGCTGTGTTTGAACAGGAAATTCACTCTATGTCTCACGCACGCACTCTTAGAGGACGCACTACAATTTTTCAGGACCAATCCAATAAGTGTGGCGGCTGGGTTAGAGGCGACAACATCTGTAATGTGAGGCCCGGAGGACAAGAGTAATGATAGTACGGTAAATAAGCTCTCAGTGACAGCATAGATTACTACCAATAAAATTTGGCAATTCTAATATTTTCTTTTTCGAAGGAAAAAAAATACATAAACGATTAAAAATGTCTTAAACATCAAACATTCAAGTTTGTTAAAACAAAATCTGACTTGGATACAATAAAGATGTGCAAAAAATAGAACTACAACGCCACCATTCTTTACAAATTGTGCAGAAATGCTTCTTCAGGGAACACATTTACACGCACAAAATTACTGCTGACCTAACCCACCAAGAAGCATTAATTGAATGTCATGGGTCATTACATTGGAGCGCCTGTGTACTGGAGATTGAATTAGTCGGATACACTGACACAGAGCATGATCGGAGGGAAGACAGACCAACAGGAAATAAGGGGACGAGAGGTGGGCGGATGGGAGAAGAAAGCAGTGAAAACGAAGCAGACAAGGGAGTGGCAGCTGTACTTGTATCTCATCTATGCAGAGCTTCTCCAGATTGCCGCCCCTCCTCATCATTTTGAACACCGGTTTTATAAATGCACATGAATGCATTAGATTTTCTTAAATTATGTATTGTGCCCAGGCAGCAGCTTTAAACCTGAGTGTTTATCAGTGGTGTGAAAGAGGGGGAGAAGAACTGCAAGCAGCTGCAGATGAGAGAGGAACAAGCAAGTYGAGCAACAATAACGCAGGTCTCTCTGACTGTTATCACGTCCGCCCCCACTGACATGGCACTAGTTATCTCTGTTTATATTCACACAACCCTGAGAAAGTAAGCAGCACTGTCCAGCCTAGCATGCCAACTCTTAGCCAACAAAACCGAGCCATGTGCAGACCAACACACGGGTCCAGATAAAAGCATGAAGATACTAAATACATCTGCTGAACGTCTGCTGTCATAAGATTGCCAGAGTCATTTCTGCAAGGAGAAAGGTGACAACTTATGCAAGAATCAAATATGACTTTACAACTTAAGTAAGTTTAAGTTTTTTACATGCGATAAAAAAAAAAGATCTATATACAATAAAAAACACACAAGTCATAAATAAAAGGGAACRCAGAAAACAAAACAACACAACATTTCCTATTGCATCTGCTCCTTTTTTCCCCC